CCCCCCCCCCCCCCCCCCCCCCCCGGCCGTGACCTCGCCGGCCACCTCCCTGTGCGCCATCACCTGAAACTCCTGCGAGGTGTCCGGCTGGGACACTAGCCGCAGCGCCCGCCGGTGGGCACGCGTGGCCCCTCGAGGTTGGGAAGCAACAGCGGAGGGGCAGGCTGGGGCAAGTGGGGGGCTGATGCCCAGCCTGCCCCTGCCACCCCGGCCTGAGTTTAAAGCTTTGCCAAAACACTGGTAGGGTAGGGGTCGTTTTGTAACACACAGAAATATCAAATCACTATGCTGTGCACCGGGAACTAACATAGCGGTAGCATTTTAGGTCAGTTATCGTTTATTATCCTGTGCCTAAGGTCCAGGTGCAGCCCTGACACGCTGGGTAGATACTACCACCTCGATGGGAAATGAGAGGATGCGGGGACTTGCTGTTGGGACACAGGGAAGGAAGGAAGACGTTCCCCGGGGGCTGGCACCTCTGTCAACGCCCCACTGGACCCCTGGCACCCAGTCCCCAGGCTCTGAGCCCACAGCTGCGAAGGTCCCCGGAGGTGAACAGGAAACGCTCCTGACCCCAAAGCAAGGCGTTCGGGCCGCAGAGCATGTGAGGGGCTCACCCTCACGGGCTTCCCTCCTGGCCGGCCGGTTAGCACCAGGTGGACACTTGTCTCGCAGGCAGAGCCCGAGTCAGGAGACACAGTGACGCCTGTGGGGAAGGCAGCCCTAGGCCTTTTCCCTTGGGGAGAGGCTGTCGGTCCTCCACACCCCACACGGCTTCCTCCCCCAGGCCGGGGGCCCATGCAGCTCAGGGGCTCCCAGGCCGTGGGCAGAGTCACCTGTGTCACTTGGGGAGGGGGCACAAACCCGGGGACGCGGCTTCGTCAGCACCCTTAGCAAAACTCGAGCCTGGTACGAACTCTGCTTTGAAACACGTGGTCTGAGGACCAGAGTCCCGCACTGTGACCTGCTTTGGTCGCCTCATCCCCACAGTGAGGCTGGAGCATCCACCTCATCGACTTCATCGACTCCATCGGGCTGGTTCGAAGCCAAAACTGCAGCTCCAGCGTGTCCGCTCTCTGGGTCAAGAAGCCCAGGAGCCATGGGGCTGGGAGGGCGGTGCTGGAGCTGCCTCTAAGCAGAGAGTAAGGAGCCGGCGTCGCCTGACTTGATGACGGTGTTGTGGGTGCACTTTTTTCTTTTTTTGTATGTATTTAATTAATTTATTTATTTTGGCTGCGTTGGGTCTTCGTTGCTGCACGCGGGCTTTCTCTAGTTGCGGCAAGCGGGGGCTACTCTTCGTTGCAGTGCGCGGGCTTCTCGTTGTGGTGGCTTCTCTTGTTGCTGAGCACAGGCTCTAGGCGCGCGGGCTTCAGTAGTTGCGGCACGTGGGCTCAGTAGTTGTGGCTCGAGGGCTCTAGAGCGCAGGCTCAGTCGTTGTGGCCCACAGGCTTAGTTGCTGCACAGCATGTGGGCTCTTCCCGGACCAGGGCTTGAACCCGTGTCCCCTGCATTGGCAAGCGGATTCTTAACCACTGCGCCACCAGGGAAGCCCGTGGGCATACTTGTTAAAGGATCCTTATATTTTAGATGCGGACACTAAAACACTTATGGGAAAAAACCTGCTAGGATTAGGGAATTTGCTTTAAAGTACTGCGGCCGGGGGGAGTGGGCAGGGTATAGATGACATGAGACTGTCCGCTGGTAGACCGTTGCTGACGTGTTGAAGCTGGTGGTGAGTCCGCACTGTGCTATTATACTCATCTCTGTACTTCTGTGTATATGTTTCAGATCTTCCATAGTAAAATGTTGTTTGTTTTTTTATTTAATACATAGAGACCAAGAGTGGAAGGCAGGCCCAGTTTGGGTCCTAAACTCTGGCTCTTCCTGGGGCGGGGTCCCCAGAGTTCATATGCAGACTGGGTGGGTCTCGCTGTGGAAGGGACCTTGCTCTGCTTCTTCCCCACCCCCTGTTTCCTCCAGGTCAGCTCCTATCTGTCCTTGGGTCTCAGGTACCACTTCCTCCAGGGAGTCTTCCCTGACTTTCCCTGCCCCTGGCAGTGTCAGGCACCTTGCCTGATCTGAGGCCTCCAATGCCACTTGTGCCAACCCCATCCCGACCCATCCTGTCCTCCCGTCCCATTGTTGCCGAGTCTGCTTTCTTGTGCAGCTGGTGTGGTTCTGGAGAACACGTGCTAGCTCAGCCTGGTGAGCAGGGGGTCAGGGTGGGCTTGACAGAGCTGACCCCTGGCTCCCCTCCCTCCCTGTAAAGAGGCAGAGCCCTCGGCCAGTGTGTGCCATCCCGGTCCTCCCGGCCAGGTGGAAGATGGCCCTGGCAGGTGTGTAGCCAAGGGTTCAGTGAAACCGTCGTCGTGGCTCAGGTTTCAGGAACCGGATCCCAGCGGGTCAGCCATGTGTTCTCTTTCCTTCCCAAGTGGGAAAGAAGGCCTCCCGCCTGCCTCTCCGTCCTCCTCCCTGGCCTGCCGGGGGATGGGATTAGCACCTGCGCCCAGGCAGGAGCAAGGGCAGCTCAGCCGGGGTGGAGGACGCCCTTCTGGGTTCTCCCTCGGGGAAAACTCGAGAACCTCCACGAGCCAGTAGCTGCTGGGCCCAAAAAGCCTCTGAGCTCCCTGTGGCCCCTGCCCCCGCAGCCTCAGCTCCCGGCCCAGCATCCGCGGTCTCCCCGCAGCGACGGGAAAGCAGAAGAGGCCAGCAACACCAGCGGGTCCCATTGCCCTTTGCCGTGTGCACTGGGCGGCACGGCTCCTTGCTTAAGGAGATTAACCCCAACGGGTACACAACCAGAATAGCCCCGGAGAGGTACCAGCGGGCACCGGCGATGGCCCAGCCAGCTCAGAATCCCACCCTGGCTCTGAAAGCTGCCTCTGTCCATCCGGAGTGTGAAAAAGCACACTTTTTTTTTTTTTTTGCAGCACGCAGGCCTCTCACTCTCCCATTGCGGGGCACAGGCTCCGGACGCGCAGGCTCAGCGGCCATGGCTCACGGGCCCAGCCGCTCCGCGGCACGTGGGATCCTCCCGGACCGGGGCACGAACCCACGTCCCCTGCATCGGCAGGCGGACTCCCAACCACTGTGCCACCAGGGAAGCCCAAGCACACTTCTTAAACTAGGTGGTGGGATCCATGTGTGTTTGTCTTAGTTGCCCTTCTTACTCATGTATTATATAGGTTCTTCTGTATGTATAGAATGTTCAGTTTGATGAATTTTCAGCAAGTGAAGCTCCTGCTGCCACCCTTGGGCTGCCCCTGGGCGCTTGCCTTCTCCTCAGCGAGGCAGCAGGGACGCAGCTTGGCTGGATGGGCTGGGCGGACAGGGAGGCAGAACCATGCAGACCAGAACACGCAGAAAGCGCAGCAGTGCTGGGGGATGCAGGTGGGCGGGGCTGGGCTGAGCATCCCACTGACCAAGGGGAGGTTGCTACCAGATCAGGTAGGCTGGGGGCTCGGGGTCCCCAGGCTGAGGCAGGGAGGGGCAAGGGTGGGGCCAGAGCCCGCACCCACCATCTGCTCCCATCAGCCTCTCCCTCCACCCAAGAGACTGGAGCATCTGTGTCAGATATCTGGGGTAGGGGGGTAGTTGATATTCGATGCCTGCCAAGTCGGATAAACAGGAATAGCCTTTCCAGACCAGCCTGAGCTTGTTTACCAGACCTCTCCTGGCATAATGGGAGAAGGAAGACGGGTCTGAATTCGGGATCTGTCCCCCCACGGTTTGCTGGCCCAGGAGACGGGGGTGGGGGGAGCCCCCGGTGTCTGGAGCCCGAGGTGTCCAGGTGTGACCCAGCTCCTGTCCTTTATGAGCTAGAGAACTCGGCGAGTCCCCTGAGGAAGGAAGCACACTCACCGTGCTGAGGACCTTCTGGACCAAAGGCCTCGTTAACGCGGCTTCCTGAGTCGACCACGCTACCTGTCAGGTGACCTTGAAGGGTTGCTGTGAGGTTGAATTGGACCAGGTGCTGAAAGTGGCACGGGGACCTTGCCCTCCTCTACCTGAATCCTGCAGACTTCACGCCTGGGTATTCGCCAAATCAACTTCTTAATGTCTCACGAGGTTAAAAACTACTGCCGTTGGGCGTGAGGGCTTGAT